CCCATCTCCACTTGGAAGGAAAGGCCTCGTGTAGGGGCTTCTTGCAGTTCTTGATGGTAACTCGGGAGTTCCACGGAGTGGCCCTGGGGCAGAGTGCATGGGCATTTCATTTATCGCCCGTTTCGAAGTCTTTTTGGCATCTGATAACATCGGTAGGACGTGTGTTTACCAAATTTTGTGGCCTCTCTCATAAAAATTCATTTTGATATTAGACTCTCAGTCCTGGTTTTAGCGGATTGCTAAAAACTGAGTCATATTGGGACTTGGTAGCTCACACATTTTCTTGCTGCATCTGAGTAGGACCAATCTTGTTTAAGTAGGGGCCAAATTATCGGACGTTGTTCTCGGACTTTTGATTGGCATCATAGGAGAAGAAAATACTTTGGGTTTCTTTCGATTTCATTTTATGGATTTTAGTTTTTCCGCGATTTCCTGATACTATAACGATTCCTTAGCTTAAGTTCGATGCTTGCTATTTTCTCCTGACCAGTGTTCTCTAGGCATTTTCAGATTATATTGACCTCTTTTAGCCGGCTCTGTTAATTCTTTTCCGTCGCCAGTAAAGGATCGCATGTCTCTTTATTTTAAATCTACTCCTCCTTTTTATTAGAGGAATAAGCCTTGTGCTTAAATCGAGTGCCACCAAGTTAATCTGTTCTAGGCATAAGTTGGGGCTTTGTTGCTTAGTATATCTTCCCAGGTTATCATCGGTTAGGACTGGGTTTACTTGGTCCCACTTTGGTTTTAGTTAAAGAAGTTGAATTTGGTGAATGCTCCCTCGTGACTAAGTTCATTATGTCGGTCTGGTGGCTCCACGGCATACATCGTCTGAACCTCAATTATGTGTGATCTTGATGTATATTGTTTTTGATATGGTAACATTTCTAATCAGATAATTTGTTAGTGAAGATGAGATTTAGTGTATTCTCCAGGTCTAGTCCGGCTATATTATTTGCTGGTTTTTAAAGTTGATTTTTGTGCAGAGATTTAAAAGCTCGTGGTGAGTTGTGAGGTTTTCATCAGTGCTGCTACGGTGTTATTACTGCAAACAATATTATTTGCTTTTTCTCATTTTAGGTTGCCTTAAAGTTGAAATCACCCAGGGAGCAAGATGTTAGGGTGCAGGAGCTGGATAGATTTTGCGACACGTGGTCAATTTTTAGCTGCTTTTCCTGGAATTGCTGGGAATGTTGCATCGGAGGTTGTAGACTACCACTATGACCTAGGTTTTGGTTCTCGACCTTACTGCTAAAACTTCCAATACTCTTTTGAGGCATTTAGCAGTTCTGTGCAAACATTGTAGTGACCTGCAATGTACTGGCCAACTCCCCCCTTTTGCTGTTCACTCTGTCATCCATTGTATAGGTTTGTAACCTGGGATCCATATTTCGTTGTCCAAGTGATCCTTTATGTGGGTCTCGTGAAAGCCGCGAACATTTGATTTGCCTCTGCAAGCAGTCCACGGATGAAAGGTATTTTGTTGTTTGTCATGCTGGCTTTAAGACACTGTATTATTGCAAGTAGAATGTCATCGGACTGGTGGTATTGTTGGTACAGGGGTGGGATGGTTTTTTTTTCGGCATTAGTTATCTGTTTTCTGTTGGTTTGGAGTGGAGGCCTTCGAACTGTGGTTCCACTACTCGGATATGATGGATTAGGTGTTCGAATTTCTGCCATTTCTGACAGTATTTTTTCCTTCATGGCACTAATAAAACCTCTCCCTCTTGATGAGTGGCTGTGGCTACCAGGTTTTCCCAGGCCTGGATGTTTTGTATTACTTTTTGTACCCTTTAGGATGGTGTGCCTGGCAATTTAGTTATAGACAGTCTTCCTGTACTGAAGGGTACACATTTCAGGGTGAAAAAAGTTACAGGAAGGGAGTTTCGCTTTTTCTGGTGTCATATGGGCCATGGCATTTTTATAGGGACGGTGGTATAGTTGCACGTCCGTTGCTGTTCCAGATTTCCATGATCTGCAGATACCAAGTGCCATAGTACGTGCCACCACAGGCTTGGTTTCGTTTGCCTTGGGTTTCTGTGACTGTATTCTTTGGTGCATGTTTCCCTGTTCTTATTCTCTATCCTCCTAGCACCATCAATGGAGCTCCCACAGTTTTTTTGGTAATATATCCTTATTGCTAGTGGAGTCCTCTTGATTTGCAATTTCATGTGGTTTTCTAGTTTGCAATTATTGTGTTTTATCTTATCTTTGACTACAATTTGTTTCCACCTACGGCTCTGTCCCTATGAAGGTCATTTATTTATATGTTTCCTTCCTGGTATAATTCCGATACCTGGACAAAAATCCAGCTTCACCATTACTGTCTCCCAGGTCAGCACTCCAACTTCTCCTTTACTGTTCTCCAAGACTGCACCTCCAGCTTCACATTACTATCTCCCAGGACAGCACTATCAAGCCCCACATTTATGACTATCAGGAACGTCACCTCCAGCCTTACAGTTTTCTGGTCTACATGGCAGTATCAATGGGCAGTACCATT